CTGCTCCGCCGTGCTGCGAGCCGGGAGCCTCCCCCGGCCGGGACCGCATCCCGGCCAGCGGGAGTACTTCCAGGTGCTGGTGCGGACCCGCGAAGGAGCCGACAGCACGCCGCCCCGGCCCAGCTTCCTGGCGCTGCTGATGGTGGAGGTGGAGCAGTTCGCCCTCACCCCGGCCGTGCTGGCGGCTGAGGACCGGGAGACCCCCCCGGACCTCCTGATCTTCAATCTCGTCTCTGCCTGGCCCAGCGACCCGCGGCGGCAAGGCTTCCTGCTCAGCACCGATGACCCCGGCCGCCCCCTCGGTGCCTTCTCGCAGCAGGAGGTGAGGGAGCTGAAGATTGCTTACCAGCCCCCTATACACTGGACTCGGACCACGAGCGGCTTTTCCAGGTGGAAATGGAAGTGCTGGACCCTGACGGTGCCGCCTCAGAGCCTTTTGCTTTCGTGATCCTGGGAAAGCCCATGAACGCGTTGGCCCCTGTGGCCGCTTTCAGTCGCGTGGCTGGCCCGCAGCTGATGCTCTTTGAGGGCCAGTCACGGCCCCTGTCTGGCAACCTGGAGATCAGTGATGAGGACAATCTGAAAGAGGTGAAGGTCTGCGTCACGCGGGGCCTGCGATACGGGAGGCTTGAGGTGCTGGGTGTACCGCCCAGACGCAAATACTTCACTGCTGCAGAGCTTGCAGCAGGGCGAGTGATTTACCAGCACGATGGCAGTGAGCACAGCTACAGTGACAACATTATTTTCCGCATGACAGACGGGCAGCATCAGATTGAATTTCTATACCCCATCACCATTGCCCCTGATGATGATCAGCCACCGCTGCTGAATGCAAATACAGGGCTGGTACTGAGCGAGCACCAGACTGTCCAAATCTCACCTTTTGTCCTCAGTGCTACAGACATTGACTCTGATGATGCCTCTATCCGTTTTGTCCTGGTTGGGGACTCTGCAGTGTCCTTACTACACTCCCACCCCTTTGGTGAGCTGCTGCTGTGTCAGGCAGAGCAACCAGCATCTTATGAGAGCAAAGAAAATGAAGCAGAGTTGGAGAGTGACTCCTCTTCCTCCCCCTGGCACTTTGTGGAGGATGAACACGTGTATGAGAGGGTGGTGAGCGAGTGGCTGCAGCAGGACATCCTCAATAGGAGGCTGTTCTTCCGTCACACGGGAGCTCACAGTGCCAGCCCGGTGACCGGCCATGTCGTGTTCTGGCTGCAGGATGACCACGACCCCCCTAACCGGTCAGGGGAGCACGTGCTCACTGTCAGAGTCCAACCGGTAGACAACCTGCCCCCTGCACTGTACCCAGGTACTAGCCTGCAGATGACAGTGCGGGAATACCAGCTGACTGTCTTTAAGAAGCACTGTTTACTGTACACTGACCTGGATACGGATGACAGGGAGCTGAAGTACACTTTACTGACACGCCCAACTGACACAGATGAGAACCACTCTGTGGTCACTGGAGAGATTGTGTTGGCCGACAGTCCCGAGATGTCCATTACACGTTTCACTCAAGCCCAGGTCAACCACCACAAGGTAGCGTATCAACCCCCCGAGCAGGAGCTGGGGATCACACCACGGGTGGTTCAGTTCACCTTCCTTGTAGAGGACTCCGCTGGCAATTCTCTCCAAGGTACCTTTACTCTCTTCCTGCAGCCAGTGGACAACCAGCCACTTCAGATCACCAATACAGGCTTCACTGTGCTTGAAGGAAACAGCTTCCTTCTCACCAGTCATCAGCTGGATGCCACAGATGAGGACACGTCTGCAGACCAGATTGTCTTCACTGTAACTCAAGCTCCGGAGCATGGCCATCTATGTTATCTGGAGGAGGGTCTGATCGTGCAAGGGGAATCTTTCCTGCTAGATCATATTGCTGGTGGGAGCATCTCCTACAAGCACAGCGGTGATGAATTTGCCACTGATTCTTACCAGTTGGAAGTGAGTGATGGAGTCCACCACGTGCCAATCACAGTCAAGGTTGCTGTGCAGCCTGTGGATGATGAAAACCCAAGTATTGCTCTCCCTGGTCGTGACAGGCGTGTGGGAGCAGCCATTGATGTCCTGGAAAATGGTGCTGCTGAAATTACTACGTCACTTATCCAGGGTACGTACAGATGAGGATACAGATGACTTGGTGCTGACCTTCATTGTGCAGGATCCACCCAAGCTGGGTAACATCCTCGTGGATGGAGTGCAGTCAGAAAGGTTTACCCAGCATGACCTCATCAGCAGAACTGTAGCCTACGCTCACACCAGTGGAGAGATTGGCTTGAAAAAGAGGTATGATTCTTTCAATCTCACCATTTCTGACCTCTCCAGTGAACGGGTGGTGGGCGTCAGCACAGTACAAAGGGTCCGTGTGGCTGTAACTATATTGCCTGTGGACAGCATTGCACCTGAAGTGATGGTTGCGGCAGAGCCGCTCAGTGTCCTGGAGGGAGGGAAGAGCACTCTAACTCTGGATCAGCTGGATGTAGAGGACGTAGATACTCCTAGAGATGACATCTTGTGTGTTGTCACAGCTCAGTCCACTTCAGGATATTTGGAGAATATCTATCCAGCCCCAGGGTCCGAGAAGTCTAAAGCTGATAGTGCCATTAGTGCTTTTTCCATCAAAGATGTTCGTTTGGGCCATGTCAACTATGTGCAGAGCATTCACAAAGGGGTGGAGCCTGTGGAGGATAGATTCACTTTACAGTGCTCTGATGGTGTTAACTTTTCACCTCACCATTTCTTCCCCATTGTCATCATCCCCACCAACGATGAAAAGCCAGAGCTGTCTGTGCGTGAATTCGTGGTGCTTGAGGGGATGAGCCTGGTGATTGACACACCCATCCTCAACGGGGCCGATGCAGACATGCCTCCAGATGAACTGCATTTTGTTATTGCTGTCCCTCCTAAACATGGGCAGATTGTGCAGCAGCTGTCCACAGGCACTGTGCCTGTTCACAGCTTCACCCCGGAGGAGATCCAGGAGGCTTCCAGCATTGTGTATGAACATGATGACTCAGAGACAAAAGAAGATAGCTTCCAAATTCAGCTGACTGATGGACACCACACAGTGGAGCAGAACGTGCCGATTATGGTGGTCCTGGTAGATGATGAGACCCCCAGGATGGCAATCAACAATGGTCTGGAAGTAGAGATCGGCAAGTCAAAGGTCATCTCTAGTCAAGACCTTAAGGCCACCGACATCGATTCAGAGGACAAGAGCCTTGTTTATGTCATCCGTTTGGCACCTGTGCAGGGTTTCTTACAGCATCTGAGCAGACAAGACAAAGTGCTGTGCAACATTACACAAGGCACAAACTTCACAAAAGATGATTTAGATCAGGGTTTTATCAGCTATGTTCATACTGGCCTACATGGAGTGCGTGATCTGATTAAATTTGATGTTACTGATGGTATTAATGCTTTGATAGACAGGTACTTCTATATTACCATTGGTAGCATTGATATAGTCTTCCCTGAGGTGATCAACAAGGGTGTAACTCTGAAAGAAGGTGGGAAGGTGACACTCACAACTGATCTGCTCAGCACAAGTGATGTTAACAGTCCTGATGAAAATTTTTGTTTCAGTGTCACCTGGTCCCCAATCCGGGGCCATCTAGAGAATTCAGACAGTCCTGGAGTACCCATTGTTTCCTTTACTCAGCTCCAGCTTGCTGGCAACAAGATTTACTACATTAACACTGCAGAGGATGAAGTGAAGATGGACAGTTTTGAGTTTGAAGTGACAGATGGGTATAACCCAGACTTTCGTACCTTCAGGGTCTCTATCACAGATGTGGATAATAAATAGCCAATTCTAACTATTGGTGACCTGGTTGTTGAGGAAGGGGAGACCAGGCTGATCACCCCTTTTGAGATGACTGTGGAAGATGGGGATACACCTGACCGTTTACTCCATGATCACTCAGATTCCTGTGCATGGCCAGATTTTGTACAACAGCTACCCAGTCACCAGCTTCACCAAACAAGACTTAAGTGAAAACCTTATCAGCTACAGACATGATGGTACAGAAACCAGCCAGGATAGTTTCTCCTTCACTGTGACTGATGGGACCCACACAAACTTTTACGTTTTCCCTGACACTGGCAAGGAGATCCATCAATCCCAGATGATGAAGATACAGATCAGCTCACTGGACAACAGAGTGCCACAGTTAGTGGTAAACAAGGGTGCCCCTACTCTGAGAAGGCTTCCAGCTGGGCATCTAGGCTTCCTGATCACTAGTAAGGTGCTAAAGGCAGAAGATCGAGACAGTCCACACAAGCTGTTGAAATACAAAATAACAGATGGGCCGGAGCATGGCTTCATCATTAATACCGGCCTCGGAAATGTGAGCACATTTACGCAAGGTTGGTGCTAATGATTGTATTTGCTTAGAAACATTGGGCTCAATGAGCTGTTATTTCGTGTTATATCATTTGGATCTTTGTTTGTATAAAGTAATGTTTGTTAAACTACAAAGTATATACAAATGATCGGAATTATGATACATGCATTTTAGAAATGAAGCTTTGTTTTACCTATGCAAACACAACAGAAAAGTTCTGTGGTGTATGTGCATGCATCATTGTGTTTCCTGCTGTGTGTTAAATATACATAGCATGGCACTGCTCGTAAGAAGGTGGGATAAAATCTGAAATGGTGATTTGCAGATCCTCCACCAGTTTCTTTTTGAAGACTGAAATACCTGTTTGCTTGCCTGGAAATTAAACACAGGCTCAAAAATCACTATTGCCTTCAGAGAAAATTGTTTGGAAAGGTGCTTAACAGTTCTGCTCATTACTGGATCTAGTATCTTAAAAAAAAGATGGGGGTAGGGGAAACCCAGTATAGCCTCAGTAGTTTGGGTGGCATTTTGTGTGATTCTGTGCCACAGAGAGAGCTCAGTAGGTTGGGCAGCGTCCCTCAGGTCAGTGCCACCAAACCTGGGCAGAGGGAAGAGCCTCAGAAGATGGTGGGGCATGTTAACAGCAGCCAGACTTTCTATAAATGTACCTGTTCTCCAGTTGGTCTTACGGAGTTTGCTGGGTTTAGAGCTGTCATTCCTCTCCAGGGTAGGACACTATGTTGAAAGCTTTCACAAGGAAACTTCCAGCCTCGACTTTGCCTACCTCCAGTGTGCTTTGACTGTCAGCAAGGGGGACAATACCAAAAGTCTCGTTAGAGACTATAATAGGATTAGAGGTCTCCATAGTTTTTATGTGCTCAGGTATGTTACCTTTCTTTAGCAAAAGAAAAAAAATCTGGGAAGAGAAAAAATCTTTATCTCCATTTTATGTATTTATCTATAACTTCCAGACAGGCTCTAGCTTTAAGATTATGGTAACACAATTTGTTTTTAAAAGTCCGCAGATAATCTGCCAAGCCACAGTATTGTGAAAAATCATTTGCCATTCATCCATTCATTCAAGAATGTTTCATACATTTTCAGTTGACAGAAAGCACCCAAATCTCCCATGCCAGAACAAAAGCAATGGGTAACCCCAGCGGAATAAGTCTCTCCATAGGTCAGAACAGCTTAATGCTGAATGGAATATAAAGAACACTTAGGTATATCCCAAACAATTTTATATCAAATTGTTGTTTATTTAACTAAAATATAAGCAAAAGTAAAAGAATTCTCTGAAATTTTTGTATTGATGAAATGTGGCACAGGATAACACACTTTCAACTTTAGGGTAATAGAAATATCCTGATAGTTTTCCCTTATTCTCTCTAATAAAAATTTTAATCACTTTTAGACCTATTTGTGATTTGTTTAATACATTCTCATATTCACTTCCAATGTACCTGCAGCAGTTTTGTGTATCATAGAAGAACTTAAAAAAGGGGTTAAATTTGTCTTTAAAAAATGGGTAGGTCTTTACTCCCAACAGATTCAATTTAGTTATAGTAAAGTAATTCATGCTAATGTGCTGAAGCAAGGATGTGACTTTAGTATTTAAAAACAAATATTTATGGTAAGACTATATCTCACTGTCTTTTTGCTATTGTTCTTTGAGCTAGTAACTAAATCTATGTTGTGTTATTGAGTATAGACCCCAGTGTAAAAAGCCATGCCAGGTTATACAGGTTTGGTAGCTGAAATGCTTTATCGACAAATTAACCAACGTATTGTTAAGTAATCAAACAGTAAAGGTAGAATGAACCATATCCTATGTTCAGTAGTGAAATTCTATGATGATTCATTTAGCATATTCTTTTCTTAGCTGATATTGATGAAATGAAGATCAGCTACATCCTTAAGGAAGGCGATAATGCTACCAGTCACATCTTCTATTTCTCCATTGAAGACAATGGTAAGATTAAGATGCTTAATTATACATATCTTAGAATGACACCATCTGGAAGATAGTTCACATTAAATAAACAAAGAATTATTATTTCTCTAAGTAATAGGTAAAATTCCGTGAACATGTAGGAACACAAATCAGCGTATTTTATTCATTTTAACATACAATGTCACAATTGATGTGAACTGCTATAGCAGGCTATGGACTCTTAGTGGGATATACTGTTATCACAGTACTGTTTGTTCTGTGGCCTTTATGGAGAACTGATGACAGTAACAGTCAGTCCCTCATGGTCAGCTGTGCATGGTACAAAATTTCAATGGTACAAGGTAGGGCTTTGGTGATTTTGGAATCACGGCCAACTACTGAATCAAAAGAGAAAATGAATGCTAACCTTTTGTTACATAAAGAGAGTTCAGTTGATCTAGATCATGTCTGAGAGGCTGGCAAAATGGCAAGATAGGCTGGTTAAGTCCATTTTGCTCTTATTTATACAGAAGAACATCCTTGTTTTGCATAGATTGTTACTGCTTCAAAGGTGTCAGTGGACCAGTGATTATTTATATCAACTGATACGTGTATGTTACATTTTTTTACATGTTCCTTTGAATCTTATTTTTAAATGTGTTTTTTTCTGGTTATGTTTTTTTTTTTCCCTGTAGGTTGCAATTTTTTTCCCCAGTCATCCACATGAATTAAGTTCACTGAGAATTCATCAAAATTTGACACAAGTTCCTCTTAATTAAAGGTAGACAGGAAGATTCATAAAATGAGTTTGCAAGTCAGTTAAATAACTCTGTGTAAGGATCTGCCTTCACTTCATAATAATCTCTGTAAACTTCCTGACTAGTTTGATGTAATCCTGAATGTGTAGAACACATCTGAATAGCATTCTAACATAGCATTGGGCAGAAAGAAATTTGTGAGTATTTCCCAATGGACCTCAAAACAAGTCTGAAACACCATTAAAATATTTTGTCCTGGACAGGCAGACTTGATAAAAGAAATCCGCATTGATAGTTATGAGGATAGTCACCGCAAAGCAACAGCTTCTTTGAGTTTGCTAAAGCTTCCTATTCTAATTATTGCAAACCAGAAAATTTATTTCTCTTGAAAATCAGTTATTACATTCTATCTATAATCGGTCCATTTCTCTCCTTGTAGTAGCATAAATCATTGTAGTTTTATGACTACCATTTCTATAAACCAGTCCAGCCACAGATAACTGTGTGCTTGAGAAATAAGCACTCTGTTATGGATTAAGAACTTGCACAGACACAATCGGGTTATTCCAGGCAGAAGTTTCACCCTTTAACGGGAGATCGTACCTTTTGAATAATAGCATTTTGTCTAACCTGAGAGTAAGAAAGATTACTTTAGGTTCTCTATCTGGATAACTACTTGTCCTGCTATTTAAGAGAGCTGCTGGGCAACCTTTATCAGTGACGTATGAGAGAGAATGGCTGGCAGCTCTTGGGAAAGTTGATCCTTCTAACTTGAGGAAACTGTTCCTGTTCCTGCTATTAAACTGAAAATTTGGGCAAAAGTACTAGAATTTTAACCTACTAATTATGGTGCATGCTGCATTTGTGAATGTTCAGGGTTGAGCCTGCAGTTCGTTTCACAGAACAGACGTTGGCACAAACTGAACGCAAAGCAGGTAAGGTTCAGCTGGTTTTACCGATTTATTCTTGGGGTGAGTAGACAGACAGCATAATGTTAAGGTATTTTTCAAAGATTTGTAATCGAGCAATGACATGCAGTAAACCTAGAGTGGTTATTTTTAACTCTACCATATTTGATTTTCAAAGCTTTTGTTATTTTTCCTTGGTGATTTTTATGCAAAGATCAGCTTAGATTTGGTTAGTCCAATGCTTCTGCATCTGGCTTATGTTCAGTGATATTTTGTATGAGTAACACTTTTATTTACCTGTAGAATTCACCTTTTTTGCTTTGTGGGATTTTAGTATGCTTAACCTTTTGACACTTCTGTCATTGCTGCCCTCTAGACCGTGCTTTCAATTACTGTTGCCAAAAGAGTAATGAGAGCTTGCTGATACGGAAAGCTACAATGTTTTGCTTATGTGAACTTTGTGGGACTAGTTCAGGCTTCTTTCAAACCTTGTGTGGAATGCAATTTTAAAACTTAGAATTCCCTTTGAATAAAGGAATCCTACTGAAATGCACTAAAGAGTATTTGCAATCCGTAAAATATTAAAGAAAATATTATATACGCCTAGCTACTAAAAAATAGCTCTGTAGAAAGACAAATTTAGAATATAATCTAAAGTGCAAATTTGTTCTGTGCATTTTGCTCGATGGGGTCCCAGTTCCACGGGGTGAAAACGTGACCCTGCTAAAGTTAGCAGGAGCTTTGCTGTTAATTCTAGTTGGCCTGGGATTTCACTCAGAAGCCTTCTCACCAGTATTTGACTGGTGCTACTGCAAATAAACTACATGGAAGAGGTGTGTTGGGTGAAAACCTGAAGGAAAACCTAGCAGTTTTCTGGTAGTGATTTTTTTTCCACCCTTTTTCTTAGCTTTAGCTTTCAAAGACAGACTGTTTGTTCACCCAGAGAGTTGTTTCGGGGGCTGATCCAGGCCTCCCTGAGGCTTATATAAGGAGCCTCAGTCTTTTTAAGCTTGTTAATGTTTTTCTAGGCAAGGAATCTGGCTCCTTAATTCCGAATAACCTGTCAGGGTTTTGATTGAAGCTGACACCTAAGAAGGTACAAGAATACAGGCTTTGGTAATGCTGTGAGCTACACAGTTCTGATAGATTCTAATACAATGTTATAGTAAGTCACATGCTTGCTCATAAAGTCTAGAAATGTTGTCTGGTCACTTAAGAATAGGTATTCTTCTTAATGAACAATATGCAAGTGTAAAATTAATATCTCGGCAGAATTAAATGGTGTTTTGTTGTTTCATTTTGTAACACAAGCTGAAATATGGAATTTTGCCAGCTTGTTAGCAATCCTTGGTTTGAATTTGATCACCTAAGCTGGCAGAGTATAGTTACTGGTGAGATTTGTTCATGTTAATGACTGTATTATTCTGAAACAGCTGTCTACTCTTACATGTAGGTAATATTTCTCTAATTTTACTAATGATTTTATAAATCAACTTTGTGTTACTATAAACAAGTTAGTGCACCATCCTCTTGCTAAATAATTCTCCTTTTTAGTAGGCAGGTTTTGTGCATCTACTCACATCTATAAATCTGAGAACAGTTTGCAGACTTTGCAAAAGATATTGCAGTGGTATAATTTCAGCACTTTCAGACACAAAGGTGCATCATTTAAGAGGCAAAGAATTTCCAACTGATGAGCCATTTTCAAGCAGCCTTAAACCCAAAGCTACACTCTTCCCAAGTCAAATAGAATATTAAGCGTTTTACAAAAACTTTGAATTTTTAATAAAGTTTGAAAACACTAGTCAGCAAATATGTATGAATTCTTATACAACAAAACCTGTCAAATAACTTGCACTGCAGGGATCTTTTGAATTCAGTGGGAAAATGCCTTCCATTTTTAATGGGTTTTGGTGTGCTCTAATTTGCTGTCATGCTTGACAGCACTGAATGATGCATTTTTACCTGTGTTGACCTCAAGAATGAAAAGCATTAGGTGGGGAGGCTTTATTTTGATTCAGTTGTTTGCAAAGGCATTATGTTTCTGCTGAAAGGAGAGAAACTGAGCAATTGTGGAATGAAAACACTGAAGTGTTTCTGACATGACTTTGATTCATCCCTTCATCTGTTGCTGATTCAAGATGTGCACTCTACAGTGTTCTCAATTTTAAAGCCAAATTTTCCAAAATGAATAAAGTTACACACATAAAGACTTTTATTTTTTCTTTTATTTTAATCCTTGCTTAGGAAGGATTGGATACTATTTCTGATAACTATACTACCTCACAACAAACTGAAAGATAGAAGTAGGTTGAGAACAAATAAATGGGAAAGCAATTCCTTGGTTTCTCCTGCCCAACACACTTCTGTTCAATTACAATTTTTATGTAATTTCTCATTCCATTTATTTTAATGGGAACATTTGTCTTACCTTCCAGGAAACGTGATGGCAACAACATACAGTAATTCAGTTTTACATGGACCTTGTGTACTGGCACTGTTCCT